CTCGTTTTTCCCATGCACTATACGACATTTGAATGTCCTCTTGCAGACCATTTGTTCGGGCTTTTTAAACAGTAATTCTGTTTTGACTTTCTGCTCCAATACATGTCCCTTTCCGTTTCGCTTCTCTTTTCTGCTTGTTTGCTTGGCTGGTTAGTTACCTGTGTGTGTGTGTGTGTGTGTTGAATAGGTAGGTCAGATGAATAGTTCGTTGACAGTTTGTAGAATCTATCATCTGGGAAAGTGTATTTATGGTTGACAAGCATCCGAAACAGCTGTACTCCGGTTGATTTCTGCGGGACAAAAATCTAGAGAAGCTGCATTCAAGGCGATGTGGTTGGAGCAACCACCTGCCAAAGCATGGTACAACAATAGGCACGGCCAAGTTTCACCTGGTAATAGTATACTGTGGCTCGCTTTTCGACAATGTCCGTTGCCGTTCAATCAATGGGGTAATGAATCACCCGACAACCATTTATGTTGTCTTTTTACGGTCTAGCTGTAGGCCCAACCTTGGAATCCCGGAGACCAACGAAAAGCGGCCTCATCGCTTTCCGGGGAACTCTGATTTTTATTAGGGGAAATCATTAGAACTCTAGTGATATAACAACGTTCCTGTTGGGTATTGTTCCAAGTTTCGTGCTGGTTGTTTTGTTTCTGCAGTTGGATGTGTCCCGATGACTTCAACTACACTGCTGACTGACGCAACCGGACCTTAGTTAACCGATGGCCCTGAAATGAGTTGACCGTAAGTGTAGCAATACTTCAGTGATTCGTTCCTGGGGGGTAAAACCGTTATCTGCTCCCAGCACGGCCTCCACATCGGCTCGTGCTGGCACACCAAGACGAATCCTTTCGTTTTGATCCGGCCGGACTCTTCGAGGTTTGCGCGCTCACAATTTCGGTACTTTGTGTCTGAAAGAATGTAGTTTTTTTTCGATTGGTTCATTTGCTTTGGAATATTAGAATAAGTTGTGACGGACAGCTCTTTTGTTAACGTGAACAGACTCGTTGGTTCTATGAGGTAACAAGCTTTGGTGGCTAGTCGAACGGCGCTGATAGACTCCGGACACAGATGGCAAAGCCACATGCGGCTTGCACTGGGCTATGAGTCAAACTAGCTCGACGTACGGTGCCAGAAAGAACTCACCGACAAGGGTGCACAGCAGTTTTATTTGAAACAAGCGAGTGCATGCTAGTGCAAAAGCTACAACGACCCCAATCTATCTAAACGACACTTTCTGGCATTGATCCAGACTGCCTGATAGGCGTTAGTGAACACCCGTCAACATCGATCTTGCCTCTGTGAAAAGCCTGAACGCAGATCACATTCGGTCGTGCTTCTGTGGCCGCAAGAACACTCATCGGCTTTTGCTGAATTGATTAAATAATTGACTGACTTGGATGCTTGCCGACTTTCCTGTTGAGATTTTGGTGGAGCAGTAGGTTCTGGGCGTTCTGAGGTTATTTTCAGGAATCTGATCTTCCTGACAGATTCTATGCAACACACTACCATACGAATAGGATGTGGAAACGCAAGGTCCAATCCCAGCGTAGTGGAGCAAGGACATCTCTTTCATCGTTTAGGTCTCTGTGATCAACCTCTGACTGTTTATCTGTTCAACAGGCTTGGCAATCAACCAAACGAGGGAAAATCATCAGCACGCAGTTCGTCTGAGTGCGTTTATATAGCATTTGAAGCATATTTGTTATATCTTAACCTGCTTGGGAGACGCTCAAAGATTAGAGTGCGCAGTATTTCTCAAGAATTTATGCAATCGATTGAATGCAGGCCAAGGACAGTGTTATACGGGTCCGCGGTCGTGTTTTCTGAATGATGTATTCCTGAAATCAGCTGATAGGTACGACTACTGTGTGTGTGTGTGTGTGTGTGTTAGCGTTCTGTGCTCCGGCTGGGATGTGCCTCCGACTGCTATTGTACCGGCTGTAACGCATCCTTGTTCAGATTCAAACTTTTTATATCTGGATACCGCGTCCACTAAGACGTGCAAGAGGTCCGAGACAGGGTCACCAGCGTTGACACCATTCAGATTTATGTTGACCTCCAGCGGTTCGGTACACGTCCGTTCTACGTGTGACCTGAATTCTGACTGTGTGTGCGTGCCACCAAATTCAATTTACTGGTTTGACTCCAATCTGATGGCTGAGTTGCGTTCAACTTTTTTCTAAACTCAGTTGGAATTCATGGAGGAAAGAGTGCATGCCCTTTGGACCCAGTGATTCGCACATGTAGCTGCTTGCATATCTGGTCTAGCCAGGAAATTTGGTGCGGTGATTCTGTTCAATAGGGTCCTCAGTTCTTACACAGTATCGTCGTAAGGTCGAATCGATTCGGGGGATGTTTCAGTATCAGATGATGTCGGAATTCCCATTTTTGCAGGTTATTCCCATCAGCTTTCGTCTGCTTTTCTTACTGTTCCGAGTAGATTTCTTGGCGTTTGTTGATTCCTGAGTCTTTCGGATTGTTCATTTTGCTGCGATAGGCTGCTGGACCGTTTCAGTTGATCTGCTCACCAAGGATCTGACGACTGTGTGTTGATGGTAGGATCTGTCTGAATGTGCGGTTATTCTATGAATCCATGGTTGGNCTCGTGCTTCCTACTGGTGGCATAGCAGTTAGGCACCGAAAGGGTGCTACAGCTATAGACTGACCATCCGCGAGTTGTTTTCACCCAATACATAGCTTGGTGAAGAGGGCTCTGAGAGACAAACAGTCCTCTGACATACGAAATACATCAACCAACCATCGTGGCTTACCGAGTATGTGGGGAGATGGCTCGGTGGTTAGTGCGCGAATCCATTGATCGGAAGGTTCATGTTTCCCCACTTTTACTCGGTGGTTAGTGCGCGAATCCATTGATCGGAAGGTTCGTGTTTCGAACCCCACTTTTACATCTCGATTTCTCCTGTTTAGGCTTGGGCAACCTGGTAGCATTCTAGCCCTCGTGCTTCCTTCGGGTAGCATAGGCGCCAGGCACCAAAAGCGCATTACAGCTGAACGATTTATTTTGTTCTGTCGGTGTAGTTATTTCTGTGAAAAACTAGCCGGCACAACCCAGCACCACTAATCCACTGTTTTCCTAAGATCCACGCGATGATCCGGAGATATCGACGGTCAAACATAAGGGGTCTTTGAAGATTCGCACGTGGCGGTCACATCACTGATTCACATTTTCCGGGAGTAAAGCGGTTATCAGGAGAAAGGAACATTTTTGTCATCCAAAAATGTTTGGGTCTTTTCCAGCAAGCAAATGTTCGGACAGGTAAAACTCAGCTACACGGATGCTTTCATCCTCATAGGGATTCTTACGCTCTCGTGAGCAAAAATAGTCAAGAGGAATGGAGCAACTGAGGCATCCTCGTTGGACACCATTTCTTGTAGGGAGGGTACAAGATACCCACATATATACCGTCATGCAATAAAGGCCTCATCACCCCTACAAACGTCAGCTTCATTCCTAGCCGGATGAACGTCGTTAGAATTCATCGGACAACAGAGTGAAATGCGGTTTGGAAATCAAGAATGTAGTGAGGTTGGGTAGGCTTGCGCTACTGTTCCGACGGATTCAGTGGAGTAATCGGCGATCGTTTTCACAATTACCTCTGTCTGACTTTGAGATACCACCCGACTATGCACATCTTAAATGCAAATCAACCATTCGACAGTTAACGAATCGAGCTTCACGCGCTCAAGTAGTCAGAGCGCGAATTCACTGACCGGAAGGTCCGTGGTTTGAACCCGACCTCTGTCTCTCGACTTTCCCTGTCTGGGCTTGGGAAACCTGGCAGTATTCCAGCCCTCGTGCAACCTTCGGGTGGCATGGCAGCTAAGCACCAGGTGTTACAGCTAAACGATTTTTTTAAGCGATAACAAAACAAATTCAGCGTAAACTGGTCTAAAAATAGACTAGGCGAACAAGTTGGGGACGTACCGACTTTCAGCGTGTTTCTGCCCGGTTTTGTTGCCTTGAGGCACCTGCGAGACCAGACAACAATGGAATATGGGATGAAGTTGGCGAAACAAACGAGTCGATTTGAAGAAATAGAAAAACAAAAGATGAGAGGATTAATGAAAGTACACTTTGCGTTGAACAGAACCTTTACAGAGATAGTTGATCGTTCCGTATGGACGCAAGCAAGAAGGGAATGCATGGGGAGCCGCACCACGTTCTTAGCAGGGTGTGCTTCAGCACAGACCGCCCTCATCTGGGAAGAACGTTGGATTCCTGCACACTCTTGAACTAGGATGAGATTCCCCACCGCCACCAGCCTCGGTACCCCACTTTTAGCTTGAGGGACGGATTTGTAGCTCCTGGAACCCCCTGATCAAACGATCCCGAGCTATCTGGTACTGCCCACATTGTTGTCAGACTTGGTTTGTAACCCTATAACTCTTGAGTAGGTAGTTCGAATGAGCGATGGCGGTCATTCGTCTCCCGATTCCTGTTGGGACATGAAAAATCTCTCTCAGTAGATATTCGGTTGAAAAAAATGCCATCAGCAGGGTCCACCAATGAAACCGCCAAAAAGCGTTAAATGAAGTTCCCTTTATTCCTGGCATCTTAGGAGAAGCAGCGCCAATGATGAACAAGGGTTGCTTTTCAGAGAAAATCGTCTTTAACAACCCTTGGAAAATATCAATTTTGAAGTGACTGTGTATTGTAGGCCAACAAAACGTAGCATGATTTAAAAAAAAACGGGAACATGCCTGACATAAGTTACTAAAGAGTTCGAACAGCCACCGATAGCATAGACGATGTAGGTAAGGGATGACGGAATGAAAAACTGGATATGGCGTTATCTTGTTCCCACGTGCAAAGTGACAATCATCTGAAGAACGCAGTTGTGTCAAGTGGCGTCACAGTGAATTGTCAGAAACGAACACGTCAAGCTTGGTTACGACGAACAGGATAAAAGCAACATTCTGGAAACGTCCATTCGCAACATAGCTCAGTGGTTAGAGCGCAAATTTACTGACCTTGACCTCTGCCTTTCAACTTCCCTTGTCCAGGCTTGGGCAAACTGAATAACATCTTGGTCACCGTGCTTCCTTCTGATGACATGGCAGCTAGACACCGAAAGGGTGAAAGATTATCCCTTTACGTTCATTCACACACACACAGAACCTGTCTTCGTCTGACGAGGAATACAGCCCCAACGGACCTCACCAAACGGGGTCGACGACTCATCGTTATCACCCGGAAAGCTGAATTGTCTAGCAAACCTTTTTGACTTTTGAATTTTTCACTTCCGGTAGCATATCCGTATAAATTCCACATGTCACACGTATGGTGCTGATAGCAATCGGTCAGCTGTAATACTCTTTCAAAGATATGACACGAAGGCTGGAATTGTTCCAGGATGAGCTTGGGTTCGAACCAGGGACAATTTGGGCAGCAAGTTCGCACGGAGCCATCTCGAACTGACAAGACTGTGTCAATCAATTCAATCAATTTACCAGCTGCTACAGTTTCGATCACCGGAAAGTGGGAGAGTGCGGGAGATACGGTCAAGTCCTGGAGATGATGGCCTGTTAAGTTAGTTCATGAACTGGGTACTTACGTACTTAAGTCGATAGCCTTGATGCATGAGAGAGGCGACAGTTTTCGACCAAACTAAGTCTATTGGTTAGTGTTTTCATACTTCGTTGCTAGGTCATACACCGTACACCTCAAGGTCAGTTCCACACACCACAGGGCTGGGCGAAAAGAGCTCTGTGAGATAAAAGCGTGGGAACTGCTATCACCCGCAGAAGCGTGTCTTCGTCTCATATTGTTACTTTCATACACCGAACAGCGCTACTAAATACACAAAATTGCTCGACGACCCTACAGGCAGCTGCTGGATAAGAGTTTCGTGTATATATTGTCACCACAGCCGGTTCGTCACGAAGAGACTGGACCTTACTGTGGTGTGACGGTTTGTGCACCTCAGCGACCCGTTGAGCTATACTGGGATGTAACCCCGCGACACCCACACAGTCTTCCATACCAAGTTGGTCAATCGTTAGAGTCTCCTGATCCTCTAGGTTGGGTGTTGGAACATGTGGCGACTTGTTCCGTAGAAATGGTAATGCGTTTGCATTTCCCGCCAAACACCGCTGCCTTGGGATCAGGCTTTTGAGCCAAAGGCTTTGGTTGGGGACCCTAATCGTCCTCCTGTCTAGGTGTGGGCGCCCTAGCAGTATCCCAGCCCACATACAAACATGATACCTACGTCCAACAATAAACTCATGATACTGATGTTGACGATGATGAGGAGGAGGAAAAACAGGAGAAAGAGGATGAATTTCGGCCTTAAAAGCAACAAAAAATCCGCAGAAAGTGTTTTTCTAATAGCAGCTGCTGAGCGAAATGGGTCACGGGAGACAAGAGTAGCGCCAACCATGGAATAACTAAGGTCATCGTGCAGGAATGCGACGACGTAGTCTTTGCCAACCAACTGT